TTAGTGTACTTGTAGCATGATTGATCTATAATCAAAAGGACAAATACTCGCCTAAAGAATCCATTTAACATCAACATCCACAAAAAGAAACAAGAGAATGTACTACACAAATTTTACAGCAAGAATTAACAACTAAAAACAAATGTTTTTTCACTTTGCATGCCAGAAAAACAAAATTCTGTCCACATTTCCAATCCAACAACAGAACTTTAGTTAAATAAAAAAACACCATACATCTAAAATCACTCCCCAAATAACTCAAAACTAAGTTTAATATGAATCAGGAAAAAAAAAAGAATATGGGAATGAATGAAAGAAACACTGTTGTATTCAGAATTATCAATCAGAGTGCTTGGTCTTGGACCTGTAAAGAAGCTTCTTCTTTTTAGATGTTTGGTTATCAAATGCGAGCACGACCTTCCCGGCTTCGCCAATTTTGAAGCTGCAGCTAATTACTTGTTCATCAGATGGTCCAATCTTCCTTGACTTTTGTACAATCTTAGTGTATCCATCCTCCGTGTTGGGAATAAACTCGGCTCCATAGGAGACATCCCATCCTAGTACTCTCACTTCCCAATCCAATGTGCAAGCCTGTATATATTATACATACCATGCATCATCATATGAATGAAGATAAAATAAAATCTTGTCTATTGTATTGTCTACATAATTGAATAGGAATACCCACCTCGGTGATTGACCATTCAATGACGTGCTTAGAAGTCGGCTTAATAGTTTCCTCAGTCGCAGGATCAGCAGTTGTGAATTCTGTTTCACCCTCCTTACTAAGGCCACCGTATTGAACTGGTACTTGCTCGGGCGCAATGTATCTAGCATTTCACAGTTCATTTGCAAGTTAACCGAAGTAATAACCAAGAAATATCAATCAAACGAACGAAAATCAAAGTATTTTACTTACTTGAAAAGAGTCTCAGCAGCCTTGGCTGGGCTTGCAAACGCAAACTTGCTCTTGGTTCTTTGGGTCAAGAATGGACTGATCATCCTATTGTAGGCTACGTACCACCAAGGAACATTGATGAACACCTTTGCACATTGTAGTCAACCCAATTCAGCAATAAACTAAATTACTTATAAGTTGTAAAATCGAGAATAAGGATATGTACCTGTTTGGCTACGAATTCGGGATAATTGTCCTGGAGCAATTGAAGGGCCTGATTGGTGGCTTGACGAAGTTCCGTCTTGAATAAGAAGAGTCCAGGTGAACTCTTGAGATCGGTGATTTGAACAATAGTGCAAGTACCATCAGGACTGAAATCAAGTTTCCTAATATTCTTTTCGAGAAACTGAATATACCATCTCAAAAAGCTTGATCGTTTTTCGGCATCAGACAAGGTTTTGTTGTACAATTCCTTGTCTTGGAACTCTCCAAAAGCATTGTAACAAACAGGGTGTCCTTCTTTATCTACTCCATGAATGTAGGCTACCCTTTCGAGACCCTCACCAATTCCGTCCTCTTCTAGTAATTCATCGATTTTGAATTCCTTTCTCCAGGCTACAACACTTTTGAGCATGGCCAAGGCTTCTTTTACCTTGAAATCTCTAGCTCTTAAGAACTTGAGGAGAATTACATCGCTCTTTTCATCGGCCAAGAGTTGATATCCCCAGAGTTCAACCTCCTCCGGTTGTGGTGGTGGTGTGGTTTCCTCTGCCAGTGTCTTCTCTTTTGGCTTATCTTCCTCCGTGGGCGCTGGAAGGCACTCCTCGGCTGGTGGCTGTGGTGGGGCCACTGCGGTAACCTCATGAACTATTGTTTCTTTGTTTTCTTCGAAAGCTGCTTCAACTTTCTCCACAACAACCACTGATTCTGATGGTTTCTCTTCATGCTTTGTCTCGACCGGCTCTACGGCTGGTGGTGGTGGAGTTTCAACAGGAGCCTCACAAGCTTCTGGTTTTGGCTCTTCATCTTTCTTCTCTTCAGGTTTGGATTCTTCATCCTTTTTCCCTTCCGGCTTCTCCTCCTCCTCCTTGGGCGGGACTGGTGGCGGAGGTGATGGGGCGGTGAATTCATGCTTGATAAGCGCCTCATGAATCAACTTCTTGAACTCATCCAAGGCCTTCTTTTGTGGATCAATAAGTTCATCAACCTTATTGCTTTCCTCCTTGAATGAAACAGATTCAGTTATCTTGTTTTCATCAACAGCTTCATCGTTCTCACCTTCCACCACTTCTTCCAGCGGTTTCTCAACCTTCTCCGCCTCCGGAACTGGTTCCGGCGCCTCTTCTTTCTCTACAACCGCCGGAACATCAGATTTCACAATCTCTTCATTTGCACAAGAGGCCTCAGTAACAGATTTTTTGGTCTCTTCAGCCATGTATTGTTATCAAGCAATTCACGAAAATTAAAGAAATTCTGGTGAAAATCCAAAACACAAGAAAAGAACAGCTTTGTTGGTGTATATCAACTGATTCCAGAGAGGATTTAATAAGAATAAATTTGGGTGTGGGAACAGTGTCAATTACTTGTATTGCCAGGTCGTTTACTTTTTGTGATGGGGTCCATGTCTACAAATCAACTTTCTTGATAATAATTCAAATGTATTTATAAAATATACATTATTCTTTCTTCCCAAATCTTTTACCCATTATCATATAATTTGCTCCAATAGTCAACCTTACGTTATTTGATTGATTATTTGTTCTTAGACAGAGTAAAAGCTGAACAGTTGATGTTCCAGTAACAGTAAAACATAGTTGTAAAAACAATATATAAATTAGAGATTGATTTAGTTATTTAACACAAAAAACTATGGAATTTTGATTGTATGGTAATCCATGATTTTCACGGTTTATCATATTGCGTATAAATGAAATTATCAATTTTACGGTAACTTTTGTCCGACAATTGCTATGCTCTACCTACTAAAGTATAGAGATCATATAGTTGAGTATATACATCGTATAGTTGGATTGGGGATATTGCTTGAGAGATTGCTTATACTTATGGTGGCCAATGGCAATTAGTACACAAACCTCCACACTTGGAGACCTTAGATTACAAAATAGTAACACTGGTAAGTGATAATTCTTGAAATGAAACCACGCTATTGTACCGTGATCTCAATGATCGGTACAACCCAAACGTGTGCTCGACCGAATTGTTTCATAATGTTTTGGAGATTCATTAGTTGACTATCACCTATAATGTTGAAAATGCAATTGCTACAAATCCCCTGTACAAAGGAGGTCGACTGGATTCTTCCTGGTTCGATCATATTATTGTTTTGTCACAGTGCTCTTAAATGTTAGTAAAGAGGCAATTGTCGCTGTGTACACGAATTCGTTCTTATCCAAATTGTTGTGCTAGACACTTATCTTAAATATTTATGATAATTATAACCTTCTTATTCGGCCTCGTACTATTTTTATATACTCAAGTCCCCATGGGAAAGTTTCCCCAAATAACGACCATAGTCACTGTTGTAATTTGAGTGACCATAGCCGTTATACGAAAGAGACAATTGAGAATCTATGCATGCGTATTCATTCTTATCCAAATTGCCGCATTGTGCACTTATCTTAAGTATTCAAGACGTTATAACCAACACATTCTAATTGAGCCACGTACTATTTTTTTGTACAACCTCATACCAGCTAGAAACGTGTTCCAAATAATGACCATATTTATTTTTAGTCGTAGAATGGCATAGTCATTATACAATAAACATGGATACGTGCAATCTCGTGAAGTCAATATATTCTTACAACTATTTATTTTGTGATATATCATTAATTATCACCTTTCAATTAAATATTGTCCAAGATTAAATAAAGCCAAATCTTCCAATTTCATTCACCTTATCATACAACTAAGGATACAATTAGGTTCGCATGTCAATTTCTATAGGAGCAAACAAACATATTCTAAGATATCTACTAAAACTTTACTATAGAATGCGAAACATTTGAAATTTCATGAATGGTATAATTACAATTACGGTATAATCTAAATCAATAATATCGTGAGTATTAAAGCAATAAATGGGCCCAGTAAAGGATCAACTTTCACATTGGAAGATTTTGTTCCTTTGAAATCAAATCTCCAGCAAATAAAACATTCTTTTAAAGTAGCAAAACGTGCAATCCAAGAAGTATATCATGTAAATGGCTAAGCTGTCATATTGTTGTCTTCGTCCTCGTAATGCCGCCACGCTTATTTATTTTCTATTTCGTTATGTATAATTTATATTCATAAAATAAAATAATACAGGTATGTATGTATATATCTTGTAGAAATCAGGTTTGTAGACCCACCCACAGGAGGATTTCGTCAAGCGGAAAATAATTTCAAAGCTGGTGGCTTGTCTTTCTTTGCTGTCACCACTCAGATTTTTGCTTAAGAATATTTAGATACTTTAAGGGAAGTATGCTTCAGTTCAGTCCAAGCTGTTAACACCAGATACAACTACTTGCATCTTTCTTTTTTGCATTGGACTATGTACTATAATCGATAGAGGATATTTTAGAATTAATCTCAATTTGCTATCTACCATATGATAAAAACTTATGAAAATTTAGTTATTAGATGTGTATCATATTATTAGCTAATTACTGTTTAAAATATCATTCAAATTTCTTAACTAATCAATCCGTTTAAGCACAAATATATAAGTTCATCTAGTAACAAATATCAAAATCAATTATATATCAACCGACGTTAAGTCTACATTCTTAAGCTGCAGTACTTAATTATGCCATGAAGCCCTTAACCATATAATTAATTTCAAACTCTACCTGGCCTCTCATAGGAGGAGTTTATCATTAGATTCCCCTCAGTTCTATAATATTTTGTTCAATACAATATATCATACAACAATGAATGAATACATGATCTAAGCATCATCATTGATTAAAAGACACAAATCGCTTTCTAGTTTCAATTATCCTAGCAATGACACAAAACTAGGCATCAAAGACTTGCTGGGTCGTGTATAGATACTGAGAATTTGGATCAAGAAACAAAAAAATATGGATATGCAGATGGAGATGGAGATTCTCGGATGGGAAAGGCATTACCAAAAACAAAACCATACTATGCCCTCGGAAGAAACTAGTGATGGTTGCAATGAATGTTGTGTTGGAAAAATGGCTGAGGGGGCTACTTTTGGCAAATTTTGAGTGGGATTCGTTCGTTCATTTTGGAATATCAAAGTTGATTTGGATTCTCCTTCGTGAAAACATTGAAATCATATATTTATTTGTCAGAAATGATGCTCGGTTGAGTGGGAAATTAAAACTTAAAGTTGATGAATTGGAAGATGATTATGTGTTAGAGGGAAAACTAATTAAGTTTGTCCCACATAAGATGTTTATAAAAGCAAATACCACTTTATATATGATTACACTTTGAAAAGATGTAATCATGTGTACGTAGTATATATGCTTTCTTCACGTGTGCACCCTTGAGAGTGTCATTTCTCCAATTGATCTTTTCAATTTTGAAACTGTTGACGCTCCAATTGTTATTGCCATTATAATATAAATTTAATGTCATATTTATAAACGGATAGCAGAGCTCGAATTTTTTCATTATTCCACACTAGAAATTCATACTCTATAATTTTATAGTCCTTTGTTTGTTCGAAATTATTCAGTTGTTGTCTTAGTCTTGGTGGTACTATTCTAACACGTTCTGCTCATCGAAATAGAAACTGAAGTGCTTAAATTCTACTGATTTCTTTGTTGGTATTTACACGGGCTTCGATTTGCTAATTTCTTTTCTTCAGCGACTTGATAATTTCCTTTGTACTATTTATTTTCAATATATGAAATATTCTGCAAATTAATTTTGTAACATATTGTCCTCAAAGACGTGTACAAGAAAGTCTTTGCCAATTCCTATCGACAGACAAATCGTCCCCTCTCCTGTCATGCCAATCTTCTTTATGATAGGACTCGGTCATGTATCATTTTATCTCTCCTGTCATAATCTCTTTTCAACTTGGCTCATTATCATCATTCATCCTTGACCTTTTATCACTATTTGTTATAAACAAAGAAGAAAATACCAGATAACTCCGGTACTAATTTGTTGTAATAATAGGCGAGAAAATAATATGACACAATACGAAGTACTTGATCACAAACTCAAGAACAAAATAATTTACAGAGGAATTGAGATTTCACCAAAATATGGAGAAATAATACAATGATTTTGTATTTATGATTTGTCTAATTAAATCAATGAAGAGCTAACTATATATAGAAGACATGTCAAACCTTTAAAAGTAAAGTTATAGATAAAAGGATGCAAAAAAATATCAAAAAGGGACTTGAAGTTAAAAATGACGCACAAAAAAGATCATGTGGCGCCCCGACTCTGGGCTTGGGGTTTTGCCTCATTTTGATGTTTTTCTTCATTCCTTTATCCATATCTTAATATCTTTAGTCCAACACAAATTTCAAGTTCCAATAGGGCTTCCAAATAGAATTTCAACTAGAATTTATCAAATAAACTTTGAATGAAATTCCAAAAGCATTTCAACAAGTAAAATTTCTCTTAATATCGACTTTAATTAGAATTCACAATCATCTTCAAAATAGAATTTGGATCACACCCTGATTCTAACACTACCTTGTCTTGTCTAAATCATTCTCCTTGTGTTTCTCAACACCTCTATTTTCCGAATCTTTAGCATTCAATTCAATTCTTTCATAGGATCTTTTCTTGCGTCTCACTGAAGTTTGCTTCCCTGAGTGGCAGGAACACGACTAGATTGATGAGATTGTCTTCCATCCCATGCTGAACCCTCGGATTTTATCGTCTATCAGCTTCCCAACCAGTACTTGAGGCTCTCTAAATTTGAAATGAAGGTGAAATGAGTCAAGAGGAAATAGGGTATTAGAGTACCTCCTATGCAATAACGTAAGACGAGAATAGCCTTTACATACAAAATACAATGTAATGCAAACAAAATTGGAAAGGCAGTATGAAGTACTAAAATTCAAGCTACAAAAAATAACACAAAGAAAGCGGGTGACAAGAAGTTATTAGATTAAATCAAGCAAAAGATATATAACATCTGAGATTAAAGCATGTTTTCATAGGTTCTTTTCGTGCCTGTCACTGAAGTTTGCTTCCCTCGGTGGCCGATAATGCAACACGATTAGACTCATCTGTTAAAGCAACATCTGGTTACATTATGAAATAAAAACTTCCATACAAATAAAAAAGAAGCATCAAATGGGTGAATTCTCCCAATAGGCAAAATATTGAGTTCTTAAGAATTAATGAGATTTCAAATAAAAAAATATTAATTTCTTGTAGTTTGTTGCTCCACATCAAATGCATACCTACCTAGCAAGGGCGGACCCA